GACCACCTCCATAACTTCGTTCAGAGAATCGTTTGGCAGATTTTGAATGCAGATTAGAAATCAGCAACAAAAAATACGTTCAGCAGTATAGGTCTCATTTCAAATGGCCACTTCGACTTGGGATCCTTCCCTTGTAAGTATACGTACATAGCTAGAAGATTCAAGATGATCGTTCCGTTCAGCGGAGTTCACCTGAACTCTTCCTGGAAAAACCTTTTGGTATGAGCTCATTGTTGACCAAACAATCGGAAAAAGTTTAAGAGTGAAATAACTACTCCACAGTGAATTAATTTTATTAGATCCTTCGACAAAGTTTGCATTACGTTACAAAATAAATCCGATAGACGAGAGTTTTCAAAGATATTTCTCAACTTCTGACTTCGGATTATGCTTAATGAAGGAAATTACACAGCTATAGATCAAATAAACAGCATTGATATAAACGACACGAAGACGTGGCGGTAGCAGCAGAAACGACACGAACTGGGATGGCGGCCAAACTGACAAATCCACCTGCAATGCAATTTTTGTAAAGTCCCAAAATTTTGGTTGCTTTCATCAACAAAATAGAATTGTTCCGTTGGTATTAGATTGCCCTGATGGTACGAACTATATTTGAAGGCTTATTGAGCGAACATATCATAACATATTCGGCAGGCTTCCACCAATGAAACCAGTCAAGTCATGCAACCTTTTCGGCTCTGATGATGACAGGTGGTGAGAACGACATTCGGCAGTTCGTCATACCTTATTATTACATCCATGAGGTGACTGCTTGGTCCAGCTCTTTATCACTTGTTTATAGACCTTTTGATGACTGTTTAGGTGCCGGAGACCAGACGATCGAAGGATTGGAAACCAAAAAGCCGAAGGCCTGGAGAACTGAAGAACTGGCTCCGAGATCGAAACTACGGTCCTTACACCCAAGAAGTGAGCCGCTTATATGCTGATATGAATCATCCTTGAAGCGTCACATTGATGAAATCACTCAAACATACTGCTCTGCTACCGACTGCCGACTCCAGTGGTACTTCGTGGAGAAGCTTCGCTTTTTCTGAAGGTGTCTTCCCTTTCCAGACAAATTCTTTCCACCTGACTAATATGATTTGAATGTGAGAATCGTAGGCGCCGCTGACGTTTGTGTAGAAAAGTCGATCAACTTCCATAACATTTCGGGGGCGACGTAAAATATTCATCAAAGGAAGTATTCGCAAGCTTATTGGGGAGCATTTGTAATTGACCAATCGGTAGCAGTGCAATGGAAAGAAATTCGCAAATTAGAAGAAGCTTGTTTGCTCTCTTTACCTTCAGTATATGAAGCATTTTTGAAGTGTATTCCCGGAAAGCTTCAATGAAGGGTTTGCCTTCTAACATACCACTCACTGAAATAATATTATTCGGAGTAAATATACATTTCGTCTGCGATTATCATGATCTGCAGGTTTTCCAATCAGTTTTCCCAGCACCCTCGAAATGGGTAGCCGCTATAGCATAAAGTATCGCATCAATTGTGCCAGGGTTCGGTAAAAGTGTTACATATGAGAAAAGCTCGAAAACACGAATTGAAGAGGAAAAATCATTGATGAAATAACCTCAGACCCTTTGGTTACAGCGTCAGCTGGTTCTTCAACTACACTATCTATTTCATTACCCAAAAGCATTCCATATAAACATGAAAGAGCTCCATGAAGAGCACCATACTTATTTCGTGTTCATCGCCAGCGATTTAAATGCTAGGACCGGCATTAGTAGAATCGCTGAGAAGCGCCATGTCGGAACGCACTGAGCGGAAAGGAATGAGTAGGGTGAGAGGCTTGTATTTATCATGTCGAACAATCATGGTAATTCGCTATTTTAGGAGTTCTCTCATCTGCGATTCGCTTTGGAGTCAGATCGTAGATAGTTCAATCATAAAATACATCACATCATTTGCAGTCGGAGATTACACCTGGCTGTAGTCGCTACTGTTTAGGAGATCTACACGGATCGCTCCTTCACGCTAGACTCTGCTTTACTACGCGCGAAAACAGTGTTGCGAATACACATGAACAAAGCCACTATGTCGTAATTGATTGGAATCACTTTCCCATTGTGAGTTCAAGTTAAGATCCCATCATTGACAGTACTGATAAAAAATACAACCGGCTTATCCAACACTTTCACACTAACGTTAAGAAAGCAGAGAATCTGCAAGTTGCTGAAGAAGACCTTCTTCAAGGATTCTTGAGCTGATACGCTAGCCTCGAATAGCACAAGCCTCTGCCCCCGTGGGCCTAGAGCGTTCCATCTTCTTAAGAGTATAGGGGACAGAATGGGAACATGTGGGTGACAGGACCAGACTCCACTCACAGGAGGCGGGGTTCGCACGAAGTAAATGTTCAACCGCAAATTCATAACTCTTGTTCCAGTGGACCTACAGCGTTGAAATTTTGTAGGAGTACAGACAGCAGGACCAGTCTCCGCCCGCGATAAAAGATAAAAGTTGGGTGAGTCTTTAGCTTGTTCTCTTCCGACCGCACGTTTGCTGGTGCGGATCAGCTGATTATCTCACGAACACTTGGAATTAAGTGGGAAGGGTTGGGCTATTCTCCTACCTAGAGGCAAGGAGAATGCTTCTGTGGAATATTTTTTCTTAACTTGCCGACATTGGTAGGTTCACGCTCGAAGTAAGTAGATATAATACCATCTATTCATCCTCGGACGCACGTATGTACCTCACCCAACGTCGCAAATGTCAGCGGGGCGCAAATGTCAGCGGGGCATACGAATTGCGCTCAGTCCACGGCAGCCAGCTTACAGGGACTAGTGCAAATCACCCACTCCACTGACACTTAAGCGTACTGTAATGTCACCGTGTCGCAGTGGGCTGCGCCGCGCCTGAAGAGGAAGGGGAGACCCAGTTCCGGCGGGCGCGAGGACCGGACGTTCTCCTTGTGCATGTTGTGCAGTCGTCCAAATTCGTCATCACGAACTTCGCCGCGCGCTTCTTCGGACGCGACTGACGCATGACACATGTCCCATGTTGACATACAGGCAGCTTCTTTACTACCTTATCTGCGAGTAACGACGGAATCGCATTAGAAAGCAATCTCTCCACAGTCAATATTGTTCCTTGAAAGACTTACAAAACCTACAAAGATTTTCACCCTGCAAGATTCAACTATACGATATTGAGAACCTGTAATTATTGTTGACGAAAATACTGGATTAGTGCAAGCATCCACAAGAGTTTTTCTGATAACAATAGGAAGACGTCGTCCAACATATTTACCATCCAGGTATATATACCATGCTGTCATCATTGGACCGATAACGAAACCTGTGCCTCCCATACGAGCTGAAATTGTCAATGAGAAGCCGCCTGTTGTCATCCTAATGGATGCTTCATTTTTTGGGTTAAGGATATTCCGCATGGAATAAGAAGTTCTTCCGGTGATCAAAAACCTGAATACTTGGGTTTATTTTGTTCTCTGTTTGAGGCATTTACGCTCTAGATAACTTTTGGGAAGAGTCACAAGACAGAAAACTCTACTTAACGAGGCTATCCATGCAGCGGTTAGGCTGATTTTTGACATGTGGAAGGGGGTAGCAACTTCTATTCTAATCGAAGGATGCCTACAAGGATGTTGATATCACCCAGCGTGCTTGAATGATGTTCGAAACTGTGAGGAGAATCTCCATTGCGCCAAATACAACACAGTTTTAGACAACGGATCTCTACGGCGCTGTATATGTACTAGGTTGTCACACAAATCCCGGACTACCTCACATTAAACTTTGTTAGAACTGGGCACCTTCGGAATCGTCAGCCAGCTCGTGTGCTCGCTGCTGATTATGCTAGGCCACAATTTTGAATGAGTTCATCGAGCCCTATCGATAAGCTATATGAAACCGAGACCATGCGTGTGTGATAATGCGCTACTTGTCACTACACCACTTCCGCCTCACGAGATTTACATTGAACTTACAATGAGTTGTGCTCACATGTGGCGTGTGTCGGCTGAGATGAAGTGGTTTACAATTAGGTGGATGTAATGAACGGGACCTGACACCCACTACAGAAGAGTTCCGGGAGCGCCCTCGACTTTGACAACACTTGACTCTTCTGCACTTCGAATTGAATTTACTACTCTATCGCATGGCATCCAGCCAGTCTCATGAAGACTGGTTGAATGTCGGCAAGCTGGACTTCTTATCAGTATCGCCTGGTATTCCGCTGATCCTCGGTTTGTTCCGACAGCCTCTAACACTGTTTGTATTGGTTCCTGTAGTGAGCCACGTAGTCTGGTAGACCTTCCTCGCTGGAGGGACATGAGACATTGGTAATGTCTGATCCTTTTGCTCAAAGCTTCCGTAAACATAGATGGCCGACAACAAGGTCGGGGCCTGTACTAATGTGGCTGCTCTCATAGTCCATGATTTGGCGAGCGATCGGTCGACTATGAAAGCAGCCTGTTGATTTCGAGTCTCTGATGTTGAAATGCACGAATAATAGGAAAGTCGCCTAAGCATTACTTGTTGGAAAACGCGAGGACTTACACACAACTGCCTCGGTTAATGTAATCTACAAAATGAGTTCGATTCTCACCGGTGTTTCGGGATAATGGTTCAGGTTATTGGATAACGGAGTTCAGTTTAACCCCTCGTGTACACATTACCGGTCGGAAGGGGAAGAGACCCTACTCGAACGTTTTGTTGTCGATGTTTTATACTGCTAATAGATAACATGAGGTTGTTTAGGGTTCCAATGTACAAAATTGTAGCCTCACGCACGATGTATTCACATTGTGCCAAAACTAGAGCACATGTAGACGAGTTGTCCCGCTGAAGGGCTACGTTATTGGTGGGTCCTTTGATTACAGTATCTACATGTAATAAGTCTAGAAAAAGGGATGGCGTATTGCTCGGAGATGTGTTTGGACATCTGTGTTTGAATATCTAGCGTAGTCATAATCAAGACTTTTCCACCATAGCGTGATGCTACCGGTAGAAAAGCTTAAGATAAAATGTCTGTATGCCTGGAGATTTCGTTCGTGTGGCTCTAGAACATTTTCAACCATTGAACATACATATATGGAGACGTACGTTGCCGATTGCTTACCTGAACGCATGTGATCCCAACCTTTTTCAGCTATATCTCCATGTATGAGTTGCTGCAGAAAGTCTCCCAGACTAAGCTGTACCACACATGTGGTGGTATTGAGGAAGAACAAGTGATTCTTCATTGCGTTACAAGAAGCAAACTTCTAAATTGGGTGAATAAGTCATTCCGAAAAGGAAAGGGGACAAAATTTCATCTTACTTCGAGTAGCCGTCTAACGGACATGGGTCGTAACTATACAATAACAGCGAGTTCAACTGAATGAACATCACTTATTTCCATCAAAACGGAACAGCATGAAGATCAGCAGTCATGAAATGGGATCGTGATTTTGATATAGATAGATAGTATTGGCCACAATACATAAGCCCGACGTCTCTGGATGTTCAACTCCTCCACATGGCAAGAAAGGCTGATCAATTCCGACGTCGTCCTTCGAATCGTAGTGGTGTATTGCACGGGGTGGCGGTACTTCTCCCCGAATTCCCACAGCAAGCGGTAGTTGCTCCGCGGCGGCCACCGTATTTTTACTCTGGAAATTCAAACAATCCCTTTCATAGCGCACGATCGCAGGAGCGGATGTGACAAGTGTGACGCGATTCCGGGGACAAGTTACCACACCCCATTGAATGCGTGTGAGCTTACACAATGACTTACACTGCACTGGAAAGTCGTTTTACAAGTCCGTATTCTATTCTTCCGAATGAGTCTGGTACCAACGACCGGGACCGAACCCACCCGAAGGGATGGAAGGCCTAGTTGCCCTGGGCGGATGTCGATCCGGGGTTCGAACCCGTGACCATGCGCGTGTGATAGTGAGCCACTTGCCACTACACCACCTCCACCCTCATCGCAACATGATAAACACAAATACACAGACTCTCTTGTACGACACGCTATTAGTCACTAAATGCATCCTATCTGATTAAAAATTACAAGCAAACACTAGTGACTGAGAACTTTCCCTATGCAAAGCGACAAGGTCTCCTTCAGGTTCCAGGTTTGGGAAGCCAGGTATGTGGCGTTATGCCCAACCGCTCACATGACGCAGCTAGTTTTAGATAGTTGCCTCGCCGTGTGCTCACTGCTTTCATTCGTAGCACCTTCGCTATTATATCCTGTTAATAAAATACTGCTGGAGAAGTAGCCGTTAGCTTTTGTTGCCTAGATCCATTAGTCCACATCTGTACGGTTTCAGGTCTGCATCTTAATTGTCATCTATGCAGATTTCTAGATTGGATGGTAAATGATTAGCTACAGAAATCTTGGGGAGCTGTAGCTAGTGTCTGCGTTCCTCTCTGATCCTAAAATCTATGATTCCCTCAAAACACTTGCAAGTAGTAAAAACTATTGAGGGCCAGTTACGATTGCCAGAAAGGAGGATGGGGAGGGGGGNGGGGGGAAGGAGGCGGCGGGAGGATTCGAAGCGATCAGTTTTTAGCGAGTGTGAGTTAAGTACCCCAGAAGAAAGCGTGCCACTTGTATCGCACTTGCAGTCATCCGCTGTGAAGAGGATTATTTCGTTTGACAGCGAAAGTTACAGTAAGAGCAACAAATTCACTTCCACTTCCAATTCAAATTTGGATACGAATGCTCCCGTCCGCTACGTAGTGTTGTAACAGTTGTATGTAAACGCGCTCCAAAGTGAAACGGCTTCGACGACGGCTCGGACAGCAGAAGATGCGTCAATTGACAAGTGTCCATGTTATCCCGATTACCTTGTAGGCTCTGTACATCCCAAAACTGTATTTCTCAAGCAACGGTGAAAGAAAAGGCTGCCCCTGCAACCCTTTCCCACTTGTCTGTGCACTCCTATTAAGATCGCGTTTTGTAATGACTGGCTGAAGCTGAGGAGGGCTTCTGAGGGTGATCTCCCAATGGCAATAAGAAGGCCAAGGGTAATCCTTCTTATTTATAAAGCAGTAACTTGGTGTGTCGGTTTGTAGGTTTGTAGGTTTGTCGGTTTGTCGGTTTGTCGGTTTGTATGTCTGTCCGTCCCAGAAGTATGATTACGATAAAGGTAGTGATACGGAGAACCTAGCTCTATCCTACACTTCCTTCTTTTGGTGAAGCAGTGAATTGGTGGGTAGGTGAATAGAGTGCTTGGAGAAGCGAATGCTTCGATATGATGACTTCGAGCTTATCCCACATTTCCTTCCTTATGTATATGAAGCTGTAAGATGGTGGGTTAATGGGACGAATGCTTCGACATTGTGGCTTCGATCGTTACTGGCATGGTACTATGTTTTCCTATGAAGAATGTGAAATTTGCTAATCATTCTCTACCCTTCTAATCCTGTCTAATAACCCACAGTGAAATTACCTTCAGCCGTGAGGAGAAAAAGAACCGAACGGTTAACCAT